GTAGAAAATTTAATCACGTCATCCATTTTTGCCAAATGAATTTTCCACGTAATTTAGTAAAATGGTAAAAAAAAAAAGTTTTTTCGTTAATTAACTTGTCAGATCAGCTAAAATTTAACGGAAGGACTAAAAAGGGGTTGGATTTATGAACAGTAAGGATAAAAAAAGGGATTTCTTCGGTACAGGGACTAAAAATGGGGTTTTTTCCTATAATAGAGGGACCAAAAAGGGTATTAAACCAAATCATAATGTTATATATATATTTATTCATACAATAACATATATAACTTGTAAATGAAAGATGTATAAATAAACTATTTGCATATCATTATCCTAAAACTATTCTTATTAGAGTGCCTTGTTGGCAAAAAAGAAAAATTAAAGTGCCTTATATGTTAACAAAAAAAAATTTATCCTAAGTCAAGCGTTCCTTCAGCGTTGTCAACAATGACAATAACCAAAGAGTTTACATGATCATGATGCTTAGCTTGAGCGGTAGAGTATACTTGGTTTGGAACATCATTACTTGTTTTTTTTAAATAGTTTGGTATAATGTATAAATTTGAGGTCTGTGACCAAGAAGATCTCTTACAACCCCCTTTTTGAGTAACAGAGCATGAAAATAGGAGAAACATGTGACATTTTATGGCATAATTCACCACAAAAGTCGCCATGTTGGAATAAGAATTTTAAATTAAGATTAATAACCATTTCTTAATTGAATCATAAAAATAAAATAAAATTTAAAGATAGGTATTTATTTCAAATATTACTGCCAAATTAGTAATGATTAAAGAATAACCATTACTATCTCTACCTTCTTCTTTTTTTCTTTTTTCTTTTTTTTTTTTCATATTTTTCCTTATATATTTAAGTTTCTTAATTTTGTTTTATTGCTATTACTCGCTATCCAAAAACCAAAAGTTCTGGATGTTTGTAGCACTTAAGGTCCATGGACGATCAACCTTGATTCAGTGGTTAAGCGTACGATTCCAAGACAAAATAAGCAAAAAGACCTAAGTAGAGGAAATACTCTATCATAACATGATATTGATTTGAAGGATATTCTATATGGTACCACCATTGGTTAAACTGCACAGTTTCTATACTTTTTTAGTATCAATGTTGATCATTAGCCGGAGGAAAACTACCATTTCACTTAGCTTAGAAGTTTGACAAAAAAAAAATCTGGTTCCATTAACAATTGATTACCCATCTTTTCAGCTTGGCTACTCAGCAAAAAACTCAGTCAAAGTACATCTAAACAATGATGAAAAATAGAAACATATTCATCAATGCAAATAAAGCTGTCAAATGCTACATAACCAAAACAACTTTATCAACTGAATTTGGACTTAGTAGTTCCTTTAAAAATCTACCTCAATCATCCAATTCATCTTCTAATTCTTTGAATTCATTGTCATCCTCTTGATCATCATCCTCTTTGCTGTACAAACCCTTGAACATCAAAATTTCTAGTACCAATCTTGGAATGCTAAACTTGATACCCAATTCTTCCTTTGGAGGTAAATCCCTTTTAGCAAAAAGCATAATGTGAGGATTTTCCCTACTATTGTGATCTTAAAGGACCTTTTGTACAAACAAATTGGGAAAGAGGCTACAATTCATGAATCTCCCCATGTTGCCTTTCTATATTGTATCAATGGTGAAGACACGTATGAGCTCTCCAGGGTTGTCATTCTTGCAAGCTCCAATATCATTTAGATATTGTATTGTCTCAATGCTATGGAAAGTATTCTCTACTTTAAGTTCTCCAGCATACTCACAGACAAAGCTTCCTCCAAGGATTGAATTCGGTGATCTCACACCCTAGTCGTATCTATCTTTGAACATCTCAAGCTAAAATTTGATATGATGTTAGCTAACTCTATTCTTGCAAGAAGGAGGGCACCTGCAAGTAGAACCACACTCAAAGACAAAGGGGATTTAATAATAGCCCCATAATGGTTATATGAGATCTCTCCATTTATCACCACACAAGCACACTTCCTCAAATTCAAACATTCATGACTACAATCACATCCTTTCCTTAGAACAAGAGAAAACCAATCAAGATATATCATGTCACTCACATATTCAAATTGTTGTGGTACATCATTGTCTCTGGTATTTATGGCACGGATGTGTATCATTTCCCTCCCTTGAGAGAAATCCATGAGGTGTAGTCCTTCATTAACCTAGTCCACCTTGGAAAGTGGGAATTGAGTTCTGGTTTATCAGCTTTACGATGCAACTCATATGTATAGACTACTTTTCCTTCTGGCCCTACTTCTTCCAACCCCTCACCAAATACAATCCATCATAAACATACCCTACAACCCCACAACTTGATGAGGATGAAGAAAATTTGACAAAATGAATCAACCTAATATCACTTTTTACGCAACAACTACTTAGAAAAGCTTCCTCCTGGCCTTCAATCTGTAAAATATAACATCTGTGTTGTGCAAGTTGTTAGTGTAGCCTCCAAATGTTAGCATGCTTTAACAAGGATATCTTCACTTTTTTTTTCAGATAAGCTATACCACTTTGAGCTTGGGAATGGATGCCAACAATATTTAGCTCCAAACAAAATTGAAATTTGTCACCTACTTTAATACCAATAATAGCTCCAATGATTTGCTCATTCGTCTCAACACATTTCCTTTTTCCCTTGAGAATATTTAGTTCTTGAGAATCAATACTCTCCCTTTGCTTAGTTTCTTTTGATTGTTCAAGCAACAACTTCTTATAAACCATACGCAAGAAAAACAATGTCTCCTTAATTTTATATCTATGATCTCCTTCCTCTTCTCTAAACTTCTCATTATTCAAACTCATTATTTTGTAGCATCTTGGTAGGCACTGAACTTCCAAACACATTTGTATCTTGGGACTTGAAATTAGTTTCACCTCCACTGTTTCTCCTTCTTTCCTTACTCCCATGGTTGAACTTGTATCCATAACTTAAATCCATGTATTTAGAATTATAGGGAAATGGAGGGGATGGAATGATATAATTCCCCTCTTGTCCCCTTTCCCTCATTCCCCTCAACACAAATATATGGCAAGATTTAGGTTTTTAAATTACCCTTATATCTTCTTGATAATGCTTGCTATTTTTCTTGTTATGAGCCCTTGTTGTTGTGGTAATATAGGCAATTTTTTTGTAGTTATAAAATGAGTTGTGGGATGTAAGAATTTAATTGATATAGATAGATTTTTTTGTTGTAATTGGTGTAACTTAGTATTTGGTTTATAAGAACCAAATGCACATTCAACATATGTTGAAAATTGGTCTTAAAAATTAAACTTCGAGTATGCTTTTACCCCATGTTTGGGTCGAGAGGAATGGAGGGGAATAGAGGGGAAGTTTTTTGCTTCATTCCCCTTTATACCCCTCCCCTCCCTTCCTCTCATTTGGATAAATAACTAAATTAAAAGAAAAAATAAATTAAAGAAAAATTTTCCTCTCCCTACTCTCCATTCCCTTTAATCCAAACATACTTTTAGTTTTTTTTTTTTTTTTTAATTTAAGGATAGATTTGGTTTATCATCAGCCTCAATCAAACATATTTTTAGTATTTTTTAAAAATTTAAGGATAGATTTGGTTTATCATCATTATCATTTTCAAAATTAAACACTAGAGAAAAGGGAAGGAAAGATTTTTTTAATTTTAAGGAGGGGAAGATTTGGAGCATTGAACTCTAATTTTTTAATTTGAAAACCAAGACAAATTCATTTCTAGCAAGTGTGTTCATATCCAAACTAGTCCAATTAATTTGACTCAATTCAAACCAATTTAATTAAAAATCAATTAAAACCATTATTTAATTGGATGGATTTGAAAAAAAAAAACCAATTAAATTAATTTGGTTTATAGTTTTAGTTTACAACATCCAATCCAAATCGATATTGAAAGAACTAATTAAAATAATAATAAATTTTCCAATTCTTATATTCTCACTATTTACGCATCCTAACTCTAAAATTGTGTTATACGATACTTTTATCTAGTATAAATTCATGTAACTTTACTTTTGTTTTTGTATAATTGAAATTTACGAAAGGAATAGTAATATAATCAAACTTTCAAACTTTTTTTTCTTGAGACAAAAATAATCAATCTAATTCAAACCAATCCAATCCAATAATATTGGATTGGTTTGGTTATAATATATTAAGTGGATTGGATTGGTTTGACTTTTTTTTCCGTTTGATTAAATTGAGTTGAATAGAAAATTAATTAAAAACAGATCCATCTGAATCGTGAACACCTTTAATTTTTAGTTTAAAAATAGTTTAAAGATAAGTTACTTCAACCTTTTTTAATGAAAATTTATAAATTTTGGGCATTTTCCTCCTGAATTTTATAAGATCCAAATTACAAACATTTTCTTTATGTATATTCTAAAGATTGATTGAAAAGAATCAATTTTGATATTGTTAAGCTAAATGTTCTATCATAACAAAGCTCAATAGGATCAATTGATAATAAGAGCATCAAACTTTAAGACAACAACAAATTCAAACTTAGAAAAAAAGCATTAACACATTTGGTATTTAAAACCATTCCGAAAAGGTAAGAGTAAACTAGCTAAGAAGGTTAGAATTGATGGTTTCAATGAGGTATATCTATCCTATTCAAGACAAGAACAAGCTCAAACTTAACAATCAAGGCATTAATGCATTCAATATTTCAAACTAGTAGATGAGACAAGGGTCAATTGGTTAGTAAGGTGATAACTATAGTGGAAACTTTTGTACATTTTCTAGAAAGAATGCAATAGTAGAATTTTTTTGCAAAAAAAACATAGTAACAAGGAAGAGAATCATGCAATGTCAAATTTATAGCCATAAACTTGAGTGCGTAGGTATTCCTTGTAAAGGAAGAGAATCATGCAATATAGAATTTGGACTTGCTAGTTCCTTTAAAAATCTACCTCAATCTTCATCATCATCTAATTCTTTCAATTCTTTATCATCTTCATCATCCTCTTTAATTTGAAAGCTATACAAACCCTTGAACATCAAAATCTCTAGTACCAATCTTGGAATGTTAAACTTGATGCATAATTCTTCCATTGGAGGTAAGTCCTTTTTAGCAAAAAGCATAACGTGAGGAATTTTTCTGTTGTTGTGATCATAAAGGACTTTTTGTACAAAAAAATTGGAAAGGCTGCAATTCATGAATCTTCCAACATTGCCTTTCTATATTGCATTAACGGTGAAGATACATGTGGGTTCTCCAGGGTTGTCATTATTGCAAGCTCCAATATCATTTAGATATTGTATTGTCTCAATGTTGAGGTAAGTATCCTCTACGATTGGTGGTGGTATAGATCCCACATTACTTGAGGTAGATCATATGTTTGTGGCTCGGTAGGCCTAGTTCTGATTGTGCTAGGGCTTAATAATGACATCAAGCATTTAAGTGATGGAGATAGTAATGATCCAAATCCCACATCAATTGTGACTTGTAATTGAGTCTAATATAAATGTGGAAAGACAACTTAAGTTTTTAAGGTTTCATGGACTTTGGCCTAAAGAGTTATTAGGTTAGCGGCGGGCTTCAACTTAAGTCATTTTAATTGGCATTAGAGTGGTCACCATCATGGCCAATGGTAGTGTGAATCCACAACATTTGACCTCTTGCAAGTGTAGATCTATGTTAACCATCATGACAGGTGGTAGTGTTAATCCACATCACTTGAGATGGATCCTATGCTTGTAGCCCAATTAGCCTAGTTTTGATTGTGCTTGGGCTTGACCAAAACATCAAACATCTAAGTGGGGGAGATTGTAATGCCCCGAATCTGATATTGATGGGGACTTGCGAACCCTATATCAATTGAGGTGGATCTTGTGTTTAGAGCCCAATAGGCCTAATTTTTATAATACTTGGGCTTGATTAGGACATCAAGCATATAGGACAATGGGATTAGTTTTGATCATACTTGGGCTATTACTTGAGGTGGATCTCTAGCCTAGTTTTGATCATGTTTGGACATGATTAGAACATCAAGCATTTAAATAAGGGATATTGTAATGTCTTGAATTCCATATCGATGGGGACTTGTGAGTGAGTCTAGTGTATAAGTGTGAAGATCAACCAAAATTAACAACTTGAGTTTAAGCTTTTGAGAGTCTATGAATTTTAACCCGAAAAGTTGTTAACTATGTGGAATGTAGAGTATTTGATGCATAGGGCTTAGATTTGAGGGAGTGTTCCTATGTGATGAAGAATAAAAGCATCCCATATAAAGAGAATGGGCTTTTTTGACAATAAAGCCTTTTGTTGATGAGTGTGGTCCTACTTGCAAGTGACCTTTTTGCTATAACAAAGTTAGTAAGTATGGTATAAGATATTAGCTTAAACTTTTCAAGACTGAAAAAAAGCTTGTATTGTAACTTGTAGTTTTCTTATTCCTAAAATCCATATTTGATACTGATGTTTTTGACATTTTGCAATATTTGGTTGCTCAATATAAACACAATTTTTTGTGGTATATCTAATAAAAGAATAAAGTTATTTACTATTACAAAGATTTGAAATCATGAATCTAACACCAAATCAACAGAATTTACAGTTATTTCTTTCACTAAGCCCTTATTGCTTATTTTATGTAGACATGATTTATTTAATTAAGCACGGTTTAATCAAAGTTAAGTCACCATATACAATGTCACAAATGATAGCAATCCCAATTATATTTGGAATTACATTTCCTTCAATTCAAACAACCAAATAAAGGCTACAAGTTAATCTTGATGAAATATGTATCGAACTAGACGTGTATGTTGAACTCTCAACAAAGGTGAGGGGAACTACCAATATAACAAGCTCTCTCCCAGTCATTTTACCTACCAATTGTTTTCCTCATCATAGGAAAAAGCCTCATAGAATCTATAAGCAAGATACAATGTGTAACATGGGAGATTGATATTTTGGGTACATAAAGGAGGCAACTATAGTGGAGAGGCCTACTACATAACACTAAGAATTAATTACAGAATAAAATAGAAAGAAGGGGGAAAAATACTCTCACTATTGTAAACATTGTAAATTCATTTTGTTGGTAGTGGTAAAGACAACGAGAGATGCAAGAGAAAGCCAACCATGATTCCAATAAGTCCCACAAAAACTAGAAAAGTGAGAGAGAAGCCAGAGTAACCTTTCTGATGTCTTCATCTTTTCAGCATTTCCTATGAGAAGGAACAAGCTGTTCAATCATTGCCATCTTCTTCTTTATTTCAAGACAAGATTATCCAAATATTAATGATAACCATTCATAGTTGTAGTCTACTTTGATTGATAAAATGACAACACAAAATACTTGATCACTTTAACATAAATGAAAGTTAAACAAAACAGTAATAAATCTAGTGTCTTTGGGACCCAACCAAGAAACTGCTCTCCAATCATTGACATAAGATTTTATTTCAGTATATAACTCTAAGTTTGGTAAAGTTTCAAGTCGAGGAAATTAATTGATATTATGACAGCATTGTCATACGTCACTAAAGCCTACTTGAAGGACATAATGATGATATGCAGTTCATTACTTAAAAATTTTTCATTTGGTCTACTGGTTGGAGAGCAAGTACTTTCACCTAAATTATGTTGGATTGGGTTGAACTAGGACTTTAAACCACTTGCTCTTCACCAAAAAAAAAAAAAATTCGCATCAAATTATCAAAGCCAAAAAAAAAAAAAGAAAAATGCAGGGTAACTATACCAGTTCTTATTCTAGTTGCATTGTTTTTCAAACTGTTGCATCTCTTTCATCCTTGAACTGTTGCTAGGCCTAGTTTAACATATAAAGCAAAGAAAATGAAAGGCATAAAGATCTAAAGATTGTAAGTCAATCAAGAATTCTCAAGTTGCTACTTTAGTTGGCTTCAATTGAAAAAATAATAATAATAATGACAAAAAAAAAAAGTCCAAAGCACCAACATATTATAAACTAAGATAGGTGCAGTATCACTTAGCAAGTCATCACTCACAAATTACTAAGAATCATAGCTGATAAATAGCTACAAGCATTTGAACTTATTGAAAATTTGATTTTGTCATTTCTCATGAGCTCTTTCTACTCAGTCTCAAGTCTGACTAAATTTTGTAGTGGCTTTTACTTAGAGTTAAGAATCTATCTAGCGCTTGTGTAGTAAATTTGATTTCTCTGTCATTTTTTCCACTTTTGCTAGATTTTATAAGAGAAAGAGATGGCATTTCAAAGCATGTCCTTGACATTTCCTCAAAGTTTAAGTGATAAAACGTAACATGCAAACACATTCTCGATTCAGGTTCCATGAATATACTAAACTGAAAATATAAAATCTAATCGATCTTTAATTAAACTTACAAAGTTTGAATCAGGGTTGTGTATGGAGCTTCTTAATCCTTCATATTCTGAAGTTGAGTTAAGGGACATGTAAAACACTTTAAACTTGCACTCTTCTATCACCTTACCACTGTCCTTATTAAGTTGAAAACCAGGATAAAGATCTTATGTCCAACATCAATGTTGTTTTAGAACAATATGAGCAAGTTAGTAAAAAACAATGGACTTCATCCACATAAGCATTCTTACAGTATCAGGTACTAGCTCATCAACATCAGTATATGCAAGCATTATAGTACTCTATAAAACAAATTTGTTCTTGCATTACATATTTGGAGGATATTCCTTCTAGGCTTGGAGGGTAACTATTATTAAAGCAAATAAATGAAATTTAGTATCATGCATTGGAATTCCATAAAGTCATCAAGAGAATCAATGTATGAGTAACAACCTAGTATGTAGTATAAAGACAAGTAATATAAATCACAAAAAGCCAGCCAGTAGATTTTCTTAATTCCAATTGTGTGGTCATTTCAGTATATGACAATATCTTTCTTACTTCAACGGACAAAGAAAGTGAATTGTTGAAAATAGTAGTACCACTGATGATAGTTGAGTCCTAAGGCTATACAACATTAGTGTTTGGTCGTACAAAGTACTTCTTAGGTGAAGTTGTTTTATTAACCTAGCAAAATAAGAAGTTTAGAGACAATAAATCAAACAATCATATAATCCTCCAAAATATATAGAGTGCAATTTCTAATCACTTCAATGTACCTTAAAGGCAACATGGTGTTCTATGTTGTTCACAACCTTCAGATCACAAAAGCTTAGGTTTTCAAGCTCAATTGACAACACAAAATTATGATTATAACCCTAGTAAGTTTGGAGAAAAAATATTACTAAAATGAACAATCATAGTCACTTACACAATGTATTTTACTTGCATTATAAAGAAAAAGAACATATGTTAATAAGCAATGAAATAGGGGAGCAAAATTGATGACACGTCCTAATAGCTTGATTGCATGTTTGCCATCTAATACACGCAAAAAGTGATCAAAGGTATATTGGATTTGTTGGCAAGTAACCTAGACCTATAAACATGCTGTTGACAGTGAAATCAGTTCAAACAAGTTTCTTCAACATGATTTTGAATCACATGAACTTATGGTTTGTGTCACTTAGAAGAGGAAGATTAAGAACAAGAACAAAGGTAGGAGCTCCATTTCTAACTGGACAAACTTCAGTTGGTCAATGGCATCTAGGAACAATATATCTATGCTTGATTTAGGATTTATTTGAGCCATTTGTGCTCTTTTGTTTAGTCAATATAGAGTTCTTTTGGGTAGATCATATTCTATTTCTCTTTTTACTTGTGTTTTTAATAGGGATTTCTCTTTTGACATTATTATTTTCCTCTTTTTTTCCATAAATTGTCTTCTTTTTCTTGTTATCATTTTTTTTTCTTTTTCTTATTATCATTATTTGTCAAAGCTGTTGGCCAAAAAGAAAAAGAAAAAGAAAACGTTATTTTTCAAAGTTACTTTGTTATTATCTTGAAAACACTTGAGGAGTGTATACTTCGACCCTCTTTTGATTAATTTTAGGGTAATAATAGGGGACTACAGAATGGGACAAAGTTAGTAGGCTAATAATGTGATATAAATTATGATATATATAATTTCATAAGTTTTAATAAAATAAAAGGCGATGTGGCTTATGCCCATTATAAGTCTCAAAATTTTAACCTAATATATTATTATTCTTAATTTTATGAAATTCCACTTGGCTCAAATTCTAACCATTGTGTGCATGTTTGATATATGGATGTCAATTGACACTTAGCGCTTTAGTACTTTACATAAATTTTTTTCAAAATTTTAATTTAATACAAAATTAAAAAATTATTATTATTTTCAAATAAACAAAATATTAATTATATTTTTTTATAATTAGGTTTTAGTTT